ATGTGGCCTTAACACTAGAAGAAAAAAAAAAAAGATTTAATGAGGAAGAGCCTCACTATATTTCTTTTCAGTTTGTCTCTTTTGTAGTAGTTTATATAATTTGAACTTTCTTGTTGCCTCTCTCCAAGGAAAGAAGGGCTCTCAACATGATACAGACAAGACAGAGGGCCCCATCTCCAAACCAAAATGTTATGGAAGGGTATCTCAGCTCTCGGGGTGAGCAATTTCCCTTCAAGTCATCCAGATTTGTGGGTTTTAGCCACTGCATGACAGAGGCTGGCTCAGTATTACCTGAAGTGAGTAGATCTGAGCTCTGCAGGAAGCAACTCTCTTGTTGCCAATAGGCACTGTTGTGCTATGGGAAATGTAGGGTCATTCCAAGTTTTCTTTGGGAAARAAAAAAAAAAAAAACAAAACAAAGCAAAACAAACAAACAAACAACAAAAAAAAAAACCATGATATTTATGCTATCTATTATATCCAGTGCACTTAATCTTATTAAGAATTTTGGTAATAACCATAAAATCCCCATAATTGATATTTTTATTTCCTGCAGAGTGGAAAGGAGACACCTGAGGTTTAAATTGTCCTACGGATCGTCATAACGCCCATGGGCAGAGTAAGGGCTCCTGTTCTCTCTCCTTCAGATCAATCCCCTGCAGACCCTGCAGTGTAAAAAGCAGCAACCCATGTTCCCCAAAAACACCAAAAAAATCACTTTACTCAGCTTCAGGAGAGTCTGACAAGAGCCAGGACCAGTGAGGAGCTATGAACATCTTCTCTTTGCTACAGCATCCTTGGAGAACATCTCCCTCCATGGATGCAGTGTCCTCCTGCACCAGCGATGCTCTGGATACCTCACCTGCAGGATCCACTTCCAGTGCTGCTCTGTGGTTTAATCCTCAGCCTAAGGTCAGGATTTGCTGTGTGTGCAAGCATGGCAGGCTCATAGCTGTGGCTAGGGCTCTCAAATGCTGTTGTTTTGGTGGAAAACGATGGAATTATTCTCCAGGAGACGATGCAGAAGTTCAATGGAATTCCTTCCAAATGCTACGTGGTGGGTGCTGCTGAACCATGCAGCAGACCCACTTGTGATACTGCAAGATGTGGCAGAGCACAAATTAGCAAAATACCTATTGCAGTGGAAAGATTCACATGGGCATCTCTCTGTGGCAGGTTAGTGTGAGAACATCAAATACGGCTTGAGTGTGAAGTTAGTTGGTTATAGGGAAGGGAGAAGAATGATGCTTCAGAGTTTATGTCCACTAAAATTGAAGTTTCAATAGTATGCATTCAGAAATAATTTTATTTTCCAGTAATGACAATATGCAGTACCACGTAAGGAATGAAAGTGAAGAATTGATCTTATTCTTCAAATACAGGATAGCTTCAATATTAAAATTAACATATAAATTTAGCATCAATCTTATTTCCTGACTCAACGCCTGCTGAGTAAATGAACATAAGGAATGAATCACTGAAACAGTATACGGGGAGAATCAAAGCCATTTTTCAAATGTGTCAGCACAAATGCAAGGTGAAGCTGTTCACCAGACACCCAACAGATGTTCTGGAGATGCCCCTTCAGGTCCCAAAAGAGAACAGGTCTGGGCTCTTCTTCGGCAGCAGATCAACCACCTCCTCCAGCCTTGCAGCAGAGAACAGGACCATTCCCTGCACCACGTCCACCCCAGTCCCAACCTGGGATGCTGTGGGTTGGGATCTCGCTGTGCCCAGAGGAAGGAGCATCATCGCCAGGGACACTATGCCATAACACTGAGAGGGGAATTATTATTATTACTCATCATTATTATTGTTATTGACCTCATTGTTGGCACTACCCACATTTTAGCAGCCACACACCTCTCACATGCCCGTTTTCTACCTGCACATGGAAATCTAAGTGGAAAATCCCCTGCTTGATGAGGGGGAAAACATCTCCAGGGTGCTCTGCACTGGATCCCATCCCCATGATTAATGGATAAATCAAAGTTTTCTCCTACCTGTGCAGAAGGGAGATGCTGGGGTAGCCAGCACCTGCAGAAGGTCTGCATGGGGTCTTGCCCCGAAGATGGGGTGTCTTGTGGATAGTGATAAATTTAAATTGATATGTGCATCCCCATGACCTGGTATAACTATGGATCTTGCTACAAGGCTATAGGTGCAAGTTAAAAATGACATTCATAGCTAGCGCCTGTCTGGGAACTAATCTAGGCAAATACAGTGATATTTCTTCAAAGAATTTGTTTCAGGGCAATGTGAATCCTGAAAAGAAAAGAAAAGAAAAGAAAAGAAAAGAAAAGAAAAGAAAAGAAAAGAAAAGAAAAGAAAAGAAAAGAAAAGAAAAGAAAAGAAAAGAAAA